GGAGGAGGAGGAGGAGGAGGAGGAGGAGGAGGAGGAGGAGGAGGAGGAGGAGGAGGAGGAGGAGGAGGAGGAGGAGGAGGAGGAGGACGAGGAGGAGGAGGAGAGGAGGAGAGGAGGAGGAGGAGGAGGAGGAGGAGGAGGAGGAGGAGGAGGAGGAGGAGGAGGAGGAGGAGGAGGAGGGAGGAGGAAGCGTGTCCTGCCGCCGCGCCCAGCTGCCGCTGTCGCTCCCGCTCCTCCCCTTCCCCCCTGCCGCGGAGGCCTGCCCTGCCCCGCGGAGCACCAGCCCCGCGCCAAGATCGAACTGCGCCTTTGCCGCACCCGCTGCGGCTCCTCCTGCGCGGTGCCGCGGCCCCGGCGTGTGCTCCGCGCGAGCCCGCGTGCCGGCCGGGTTGGTCCCCGCGGGCCCGTGCTGAATACGACGGAGGAGGAGGAGGAGGAGGAGGAGGAGGAGGAGGAGGAGGAGGAGGGAGGAGGAGGACACCGACACGAGGAGGAGAAGGAGGAGGAGGAGGAGGAGGAGGAGGAGGAGGAGGAGGGGGAGGAGGGGGAGGAGGAGGAGGAGGAGGAGGAGGACAAGGAGGAGGAGGTGGAGGGAGGAGGAGGAGGAGAGGAGGGAGGAGGGGGAGGAGGAGGAGGAGGAGAAGGAAGAGGAGGAGGAGACGAAGCAGGAGGGAGGAGGATGGGAGAGGGCGGCAGCCGGGGGCGTGGACGGGGGCCGCGCCGTTCAGTGCGTCGCAGAGGGGTTGCCCAGCGAGAAGGGGGGGGGGGCAGAAGGGCGCTCTCTGTGAGGAGGGAAGGGAGGAGGGGAGTCGGAGGAGGAGGAGGCGGAGGAGGAGGTGGAGGAGGAGGAGGGGAGCCGACTGAGCGACGCCAAAAACGGTGTCGTCTTCACCGACATTGGCGCGCAAGCTGCCCGCGTGAGGTCACGCGTGAGCGCCCTCGTCTCCAATGGGGACGTGCCGAGCTTGCGGCCCGCGTCAGCATCAGCGTACAGTCGTCCTCAGCGTCCTACATGCGTCATCTCGCAGAAGAGCCGTCCTCCATCGTCGCTCAGTTGTGGAGTCTGGTAGACAAGGGGGATGACGACGGCGGCGACGGCGACGACGGCGGCGACCGCGGCGACGACGACGACAATGGTGATGATGATTACGATGACGGTGGTGACGATGGTGGTTATGCAGTGATGATTGGCGATGATGACTGATGATGATGACGGCGATGGTGGTGACGACGACGGCAGCGATGTTTCTCATGAGTATGAGGATGTCGACGATGATGATCATGATTATGTTGATGATGATGTTGATGTTGATGGTGTTGAGGATGATGGTGATTATGAGGATGATTGTGATGATGATGATGCTGATGATGCTGCTGCTGATGCTGATGCTGATGATTGTTGTGATGGTGCTGACGATGACGATCAATGTTGCTGATGCTGAAGACGCGGATGACGCCGCTGCTTGCAATGACGAGGGTGGTGATGGTGGAGGCCGTTTTCATGATGAGCACGATGACGATGGTGATGATGACGTCGGCGACGGCGTCGACGATTACGACGAGGACAAGGACGATGATGGTCATGCGGATTTTAATTAATAGTGATGATGATTGATAGTGATGATGGTGATGATGATGATGCTGATGATGATGATGTTGTTGTTGATGCTGATGATGATGATAATTATCATTATGCTGGTGATGTTGATGCTGATGGCTGATAATGGTTGTGATGATTGTGCTGGTGAGGAGGTGGAGGATGAGGAGTGGTCAATCAACACGGCGCCAGGAAGGCTTCAGGCCGACTCGCCACAGAGCGAGGAAGGCGAGTGGCCGCGTCGTCGTCGACGCTCGCCGCAAGGCGAGAAACTCGAGCGGACGCGAGAGTGGGGATGGTGAGGAGGGACGAGGGAGGTTGAGGGAAGAGGGGGAGTGGACAGGAAGCAGGGAAGGAGGCAGGAATCTGATGATGCTGATGATGCTGATGATGATGATGAGGGTGATGGTAATGATGATGATGATGATGATGATGATGATGATGCTGATGATGATGATGATGATGATGATGATGATGCTGATGATGATGATGATGCTGCGGATGATGCTGATGACGATGCTGTTGATGACGATGATGATGGTGACGGTGATGCTGATGATGACGGTGATGCTGATGATGCTGATGTTGATGCCGATGATTCTGATGATGATGATGCTGATGCTGCTTGTGATAATAATGCTGCTCATGTTGCTGCTGATAATGATGACGATGGTGATGCTGATGCTGATGCTGCTGCTGCTGCTGATGATGATGATGACGACGACGATGAGGTGGATGAGGGGGAAGAGGAGGAGAACGAAAAGAGGCAAAGGTGGGAGGTGCTGGAGAGTTCGGAATGGTTTTTCGATGGTCTGGATCGCCAGCCCCGTGGTCGTCGCCCTCCTGTTGCTGTTTTTCCTCCTTGGCCTCGTTCCTACCCAGGGGGGGGGGGGTGAGAGGATCCAATGTTGCCGACGACAAAGACGACGACGAAGACGGCCGCGACGACGACCATGATGATGATGCTGATGATGATGATGCTGATGGTTATGATGATGCTGATGATGATGATGACTATGGTGATGGTGATGGTGATGGTGGTGGTTGTAATGATTGGGATAGTGATGGTGTTGGTGACGTTCATGGCGGTGCTGGCGATGGTGATGGTGATGGTGACGACGACGACGACGATGATGATGATGATGATGAAGCTGATGATGATGATGATGCTGATGGTGGTGATGGTGATGGTGATGGTGCCGCTGATGGTGATGGTGATGGTGACGATGATTGTGATGGTAATGGTGATGGTGACGTTGATGGTGGTGATAGCGATGACGATTGTCATGATTATGCTGGCTGGTGATGGTCGATGGTGATGCTTTTGCTGCTGCTGCTGATGGTGATGCGGACGATGGTGGTGGTGATGTTTTTGCTGCTGATCCTGATGCTGATGCTGATGCTGATGATGATGCTGATGAGTCTGATGATTGTGATGCTGATGCTCAGGATGGTATGATGATGCTGACCATGCTGCTGACGACGATGATGACGATGCTGCTGCTGTTGATGATGCTTCGGATTGATGATGATTCGGATGTTGATGACGTCGACGATGATGCTGATGTTGATGCTGATGATTAGGAAACAGATACGGGGAATGTTGATGCGGATGTTGGTGCAGGAAGGTTATGCGGATGCTTATGCTGATGTGTTGCCGATGATGATTTTAAGGACGACGATGATGATGGTGATGATGATGCTCATACTGATGATGACGATGATGATGATGCTGGTTATGGTGATGGTGATGGTGATGGTGGTGGTGATCATGGTGCTGGTGATGGTGATGGTGACTTTCATGGCGGTGACGGCCATGGTAATGGTGATGGTGATGATGCTGATGATGATGGTGATAGTGCTGGTGAAGGTGACAGTGATTGTGATTGTGATGGTGGTGGTGACGGTCATGGTTGTGATAGCGATGATGATGGTCATGATTTCGCTGGCTGGTGATGGTCGATAATGGTGCTGCTGCTGCTGCTGATCATGGTGATGCCGACGATAATGGTGATGCGCATTGTGATGATGATGCTGATGTTGATGATGATGATGATGATACTGATGACGATGATGGTGATGCTGATGCTCAGGTTGTGTACGATGCTGGTAATGACGATGCTGATGACGACGATCATGACAATGTTGCTGCTGCTGGTGATGATTGGGATGTTGACGATGATGAGGATCATGCTGATGCTGATGCTGATGATTAGGATAAGGATAAGGTGAATGATGATGTGGATGCTGATGTTGATGCTGATGCGGATGTGTTGCCGATGATGGTTTTGAAGTCGATGACGATGATGTTGATGCTGGTGCTGCTGCTGATGATGAGGTGGACAATGATGCGCTTGATGATGATCACAATGATGATGCGGCGGACGATGATGCTCCTGATGATGATGATGATGATGATGCTGAGGACGACGACGACGATGATGATGATGACTCTGAGAATCATGATGATGATACTGATGAAGATGATACCGATGACGATGATGGTGATGATGATGTTAATGTTGATGCTGCTGATGAGTAGGATGAAGCGGATTATGATGCTTATGCGATATGATGATGGTGATGATGATGAGGATTTTGACGATTTTGATGACGATTGCGATGATGGTGATGGTGATGATGATAATGATGATGATGAAGAAGATGATGATGACGATGATGGCGATGATGATGATGATGATGATGATGATGATGATGATGATGATGATGATGATGACGATGATGATGATGATGATCGGGATGGTGATGGTGATGACGCTGATTATGACGCTGATGACGATTATGACGATGACGAGCATGAGGGTAAAGGTGATGGTGATAGTGATGCTGATGGTGATGATGATGATGTTGATGATTGTGTTGATGCTGGTGATGACTTTGATGCTGATGATGCTGATGATAATGTTGATGATGGTTGATGATGATTGTTGTGGTGGTGGTGAAACGACGATGATGATGATTCCGATCATGCTTATGATGATTATGATGATGTTGATAATGATGCTGACAATGATGAATATGGTGATGACGATGATGATGATGATGATGATGATGATGATGATGATGATGATGATGATGATGATGGTGATGGTGATGACGATGACGATGACGATGACGATGACGATGACGATGATGCTGCTGATGATGATGATGATGATGATGATGATGATGATGCTGATTCTGATGATGCTGATGATGATATTCTAGTTTCGATAACGATGACGTCGACGATGACGGCGACAACGACTATGGGGAGGAGGAGGAGGAGGAGGAGGAGGAGGAGGAGGAGGAGGAGCAGGAGGAGGAGGAGGAGGAGGAGCAGGAGCAGGAGCAGGAGCAGGAGGAGGAGGAGGGAGGGGGGGGGGAAGGGGGGCAGGGGCGCACCCGGCGAAGTCCAGACGCTGCAGCCCTCTGGGCTCCAGAGCTCCGCGGCGGCCTCCCGAGCACGGCAGCATGGGGCGCAGTCCCGCTCTCGCCTGACCTGCCGCGCGCTGGCCCGCCACCACGGCCCCGTCCGCTCGGCTGCGCGCAGGCCCAGACCTTTGATGATGTCTGGAGCGCTTTAAAAAGGGCCTCGCCTTTGAGGATCGAAGGAGCTGTCATCTCTACCTCGGCGGAAGGGCGGCGGAAGTACAAGGAGGCCGCCTCCGCCGGCGGAACCTCGGCGGAAGGCGGCGGACGTAAACAGAAGCGCCTCCAAGAGATGAGCACGTTTTTGTGGCCAGGGACTCCGACATCGCCCATCTGTGTGTGCTCTTTGTGCTCGACTTTTCGGCCTCCGGGGCCCCACCGTCGGGCCCCGGAGGCTGCTCGGCAGGAACGGGCCCGCGGGGCGAGGAGCGGGCCCCCCGGGGAGGAACAGGTGCCGGGAGCTCCGGGGCCGCGCACGAGGGCAGAGCTCCCATCGTCGGACGTCTGGGAGAGCGGCCCTTCGTCGGAGGGAGTGACCTCCCAGCGCGGGCCCGCAAGGGGTGTCTCCCCGGCAACGGCCGCCCCAGCTGGGGGTCGGAGGAGAGGGGGTCGGTGCATCGTGCGCGCCGCAGCGCTGCTGCATCAAGGGCTCCCACGAGGGCGCGAAGTTATTCGCGCTTCGCGCTTCGCGGTCCTCGTTCCTTCTCCCCCTCCTCCTCGTCCTCCTCTTCTCCCTCTGGGGGGGCGGCGCGAGAGCGCGAAGTTATTCGCGCTTCGCGCTTCGCGGAGCGCGAAGCGCGAAGTTGGGAGCCCTAGTGCATGGGCGAGAGGGCTCGATGCGGAGCCCGACCCCTCTCCCGACGTCGCCGATGCGTCGGCGGCGCGGCCGGACCCTGCGGCCCCATCTCCTCCGACGCCCTGCTTGGGCGGCCTCCACGAGTGGCCCCCTGGATCAGGGGCAACGGCGGGGGGGGGGAAGCTGGCCCAGGGGTGCCCCCAGGGATCGCCCGCCGTGCCCTCAGAGCACCCCTCGCGGGGCTCTGGGGGTGGTCCCAGGGGCTCCTCACGGAGGGGAGCGCGAAAGCTGGGCACGCCTGGGGCCAGGGACATCTTGCAGCAACAGTGCGCCCTGGCCCGGGGCTAAGTCGGGCCTGTCCCTCTACAGGAGGAATCTTCAAAAATAGTAAAAAATAGTCTAGGGGCGATTCTTACCTAACAGCGAAGACTGATAGGTTTCTAGTAGTGTCAAAAGAGAGCATCTTGACTCCCCAGGGAGGTCTGGGCGGGTGCCGGGGAGAACCCGCGGAAGTCGTTTTAAGCAAACAGTTACACACTTCGTGGTCTTCGAGGTCCCAGAACTCCATTCCCGGGCATGACTTTGAATGCCCGGAGCCAACTGTAGGCCACTTCGTGGTCTTCGAATTCCCAGAACTCCATGCCTGGGCATGTTTTTGAATGCTCGGAGCCAACTCTAGGCCACTTCGTGGTTTTCGAGTTCCCAGAATTCCATTCCTGGGCATGATTTTGAATGCCCGGAGCCAACTGTAGGCCACTTCGTGGTCTTCGAATTCCCAGAACTCCATTCCTGGGCATGATTTTGAATGCTCGGAGCCAACTGTAGGCCACTTCGTGGTCTTCGAGTTCCCATCATTCCATTCCTGGATATGATTTTGGGTGCCCGGAGCCAACTGTAGGCCACTTCGTGGTCTTCGAGTTCCCAGCACTCCATTCCTGGGCATGCTTTTGAATGCCCGGAGCCAACTGTAGGCCACTTCGTGTTCTTCGAGTTCCCAGAACTCCTTTCCCGGGCCACATTTTGAATGCTGATGCAGGCTGAGGCTGAGGCTGAGGCAGGCTGAGGCTGAGGCCGAGGCTGAAGGCAGACTGAGGCTGAGGCTGAAGCAGGCTGAGGCTGAGGCTGAGGCAGAGGCAGGCTGAGGCTGAGGCAGGCTGATGCTGAGGCAGGCTGAGGCTGAGGCTGAGGCTGATGCAGGCTGAGGCTGAGGCAGGCTGAGGCTGAGGCCGAGGCTGAAGGCAGACTGAGGCTGAGGCTGAAGCAGGCTGAGGCTGAGGCTGAGGCAGGCTGAGGCTGAGGCTGAGGCAGGCTGATGCTGAGGCAGGCTGAGGCTGAGGCTGAGGCTGATGCAGGCTGAGGCTGAGGCAGGCTGAGGCTGAGGCCGAGGCTGAAGGCAGAGGCTGAGGCTGAGGCTGAGGCTGAAGGCAGGCTGAGGCTGAGGCTGAGGCAGGCTGAGGCTGAGGCTGAGGCTGATGCAGGCTGAGGCTGAGGCAGGCTGAGGCTGAGGCTGAGGCTGATGCAGGCTGAGGCTGAGGCAGGCTGAGGCTGAGGCTGAGGCTGAGGCTGAGGCAGGCTGAGGCTGAGGCTGAGGCTGAGGCTGAGGCTGGCTGAGCAGGCTGAGGCTAGGCTGAGGCTGAGGCTGAGGCTGAGGCTGAGGCTGAGGCAGGCTGAGGCTGAGGCTGAGGCTGAGGCTGAGGCTGAGGCTGAGGCTGAGGCTGATGCAGGCTGAGGCTGAGGCAGGCTGAGGCTGAGGCCGAGGCTGAAGGCAGACTGAGGCTGAGGCTGAAGCAGGCTGAGGCTGCTGAGGCTGAGGCTGAGGCTGAGGCTGAGGCAGGCTGATGCTGAGGCAGGCTGAGGCTGAGGCTGAGGCTGATGCAGGCTGAGGCTGAGGCAGGCTGAGGCTGAGGCGAGGCTGCTGAGGCTGAGGCTGCAGGCTGAGGCTGAGGCTGAGGCTGAGGCTGAGGCTGCTAGGCAGAGGCTGAGGCTGAGGCTGAAGGCTGAGGCTGAGGCTGAGGCTGAGGCTGAGGCTGAGGCTGAGGCTGAGGCTGAGCAGGCTGGCTGAGGAGGCAGGCTGAGGCTGAGGCTGAGGCAGGCTGAGGCTGAGGCTGAGGCAGGCTGAGGCTGAGGCAGGCTGAGGCTGAGGCTGGCTGAGGCTGAGGCCGAGGCTGAAGGCAGACTGAGGCTGAGGCAGGCTGAGGCTGAGGCTGAGGCTGCAGGCTGAGGCTGAGGCTGAGGCAGGCTGAGGGCTGAGGCTGAGGCTGAAGGCAGACTGAGGCTGAGGCTGAGCAGGCTGAGGCTGAGGCTGAGGCAGGCTGAGGCTGAGGCTGAGGCAGGCTGATGCTGAGGCTGAGGCTGAGGCTGAGGCTGAGGCTGAAGGCTGAGGCTGAGGCAGGCTGAGGCTGAGGCTGAAGGCAGAGGCTGAGGCTGAGGCTGAGGCAGGCTGAGGCTGAGGCTGAGGCAGGCTGAGGCTGAGGCTGAGGCAGGCTGATGCTGAGGCAGGCTGAGGCTGAGGCTGAGGCTGATGCAGGCTGAGGCTGAGGCAGGCTGAGGCTGAGGCCGAGGCTGAAGGCAGACTGAGGCTGAGGCTGAAGCAGGCTGAGGCTGAGGCTGAGGCAGGCTGAGGCTGAGGAGGCTGATGCTGAGGCAGGCTGAGGCTGAGGCTGAGGCTGATGCAGGCTGAGGCTGAGGCAGGCTGAGGCTGAGGCCGAGGCTGAAGGCAGACTGAGGCTGAGGCAGGCTGAGGCTGAGGCTGAGGCAGGCTGAGGCTGAGGCTGAGGCTGAGGCTGAGGCTGAGGCTGAGGCTGAGGCAGGCTGAGGCCGAGGCTGTGACTGCGACTGCCGTTGCCACTGCGACTGTCATCGCGAATGCGACTGCGACTGCGAGAACAGCAGAATTCTACAACTGGATTCTCATCTGAATCTTAAGGGGAATGCTTCCAGATATGCTTTTACACATCGCTGTTAGGTTGCTTTGCCGGGATAAATTTTATATTTTTTGGCCATTTGGGGGGGGGGTATTTGGGAGATTTTTTTAAATTTTCGTCGAAAATTCCCTGTAGGGGGACACGCCCCACTTGAGGCCAGGGGCATCTCGCAGCAACATGGGGCCCTGGCCCGTGGGGGGGGAGCAGCGCTCCCCCGCGCGCCTGCATTCCTCGCCGAGCAGGGCCGGGCCTCCTCCACCCCCGCCCAGGGGGCGCGTGCGGCCTGTCGCCAGCGGGAGCGCGCCGCCGACCTGCCGGCGACGTGCCGCCGATTCCACGCCACTGCTCCCCCTGGGGCTAGATCGGGCCTGTCCCTCTGCAGGGGGAACTTTCAAAAATAGTCCAGTCAAAAAATAGTCCGGGCGCGATTTTTGACTATTTTTGACCACTGTGGGGTATTTCGCCCAAAATCTCCCTGTAGGGGGACACGCCGGACTCAACGCCACTGTTCCCCCTAGGGTGGCCACACGTTGACCGTGCCTGGCACTTTTACGTGGACAGTTCGGAAGAAGAGTGTATGACATGAACATGAACTTTTTGAGCTCCGCGCGGGTTTTTTGAATCGGCGCTGGGCCCCCCTGGCAGTGCCTCCAGTGCCGCCCCTGGCGCGCTCCGCGCGCCTGTTTCCGAGCGCCGGTCCAAGAAATCCGCGCAGAGGTCCGACAGTTTATTGGAATGCGTATTTCGCTGCTTCATCCCACGATTTCTAGCGGGGGGGCGGGGGTTCATTTCGTTCGGGAGAGGTCCCGAGCGTGAGTGGGGGGCGCGGGGCAGGGTTCACACGTGGCCACCTACCCCCACTGGGCCAGCCCCCAGACATCCGACGATGTGTTTTTGTTTCGGCCCGCGGCCACAGAGCTCCCGACCGACCCCTTCCCCAGGGGCATTACTTTTTTCGTCCCGCGGCCAGGCAGCGGGCCCCGGGGGCCGACATCGGCGCTCGCATCTAGAAAGTGTGCCCTGGGAGGTCTGGGTATCCCGCCGTCTCGTCCCCACCAACCCCTGGGTCGGCGACGAGCGAGGGGAGGGAAGTGGTACGGGAGGAGGCCTCCTCAGAAGGCGGCGGGGCTTCCCCGAGAAGCCCTCCCGCGCCTCCCGAGAGGTGCTCTCTCTCTGTGTCTTCGGGGCAGGCCTGTAGGAAGCTTCCCAGAAGAGGCCGGAGGACTTCCGAGCCTTCCGAGGAGGCCCGCCCCTCCTCGCTTTCCCCTCCCCCGTGCTCGCCGGCGATGCTCGTCCCCCCCCCCGCCCCTGGAGCGGCGCGCCAGGGGCCACCTCCTGCCGAGGGCCCCTCCCTGCGTGCAGCCGCCCATGGGGGCGGCCCCGCGCGGGCGGCCGCCACCACCGCCCGTCCCCCGGGGCGTCCCCGGGGGCGCTCCGCGCAGAAGCACCACGACGACGTCGACGTCGTCGACGGCGGCGGCGGCGACGACGGCGGCGACGACGACGACGGCGACGATGACGACGACGACGGCGGCGGCGGCGGCGATGACGGCGACGACGACGACGACGACGGCGGCGGCGGCGGCGACGACGACGGCGGCGGCGGCGGCGGCGGCGACGACGACGGCGGCGGCGGCGGCGGCGACGACGGCGGCGGGGAGGACGACGGCGGCGGCGGCGGCCTTCCCCGGGGAGAGCAGCCGACGCTGCAGAAGAAAAGTGCACACCGCGACTGGAGCCTCAGACCCCATCCGTCATCGGGCGTCGAGTGATGAGAGCCTTTTTTTAGACTCGGGCAAGTTTACTTGCACGTGCGGGGGGGAGGGGCCTGAACCTGAAGCAAGCCGCAAACGGCTTGCACATGCGGAAAACACGCAAGTCGAAAGGCATTTGCACACTAGTATTCGTTTGAAAAGAGGCGGGGGGGGGCGGGGGCGAACGCCATGCAAGTAAACTTGCCTGAGTCTTAAAAGAACGCCGGCTCTGAGGGGCGAAAATCGGGAGTGTGAGGAAAGGTGCGCCTTTTTTGTGCCCCAGGGAGGCCCTAAGAGGGACCCCCATGCGACCCAAACCCAAAAAGGGACACGGAAGGAGCACGTTTCCCCCCCCCCCCCCCCAACCCACCACGCATCGCCCCCGGATCGATCTGTGATGGCACCCTTGGGCGCCTGAAGCCGGGTGAACACGGCCGGCGTGGACACAGTGGCAGCGCCCAGACCTCGGGGCGATCCCCCCCCCCCCACGTGTCGCCCCCGGGTCGATCTGTGATGGCGTCCCTGGGCCTGAATCGAAGGTGGACAGACCTCCTACCCTGACACGTCGATTAAGGAATTGGCCGTTTTCGGTTCGCGAGAGGGCGTCGCGGCCGTCATTTTTGCGGGTCCAGGTCCGGCGGATTCGGTCCCAGGCCGTTTCCACTAAGGGGAGGTCTACTAAAGGGAGGTTTGTCCACCGCCGACTGAAGCCGGGCGAACACGGCCGGCGTGGACACAGTGGCAACGGCCGGACCTCGGGGCGACTGTGGCCGCGCCACGGCCGGGGTCCGACGACCCCTGGACCTTTCTCCTGGGGTGCGTTCGGGCCCGAGCTGCAGGGCGGATCCCGCCGTGGGGCCGCATCCTGAGGCCGGATGCCGCCAGGAGCCAGCCTCGATTCCCCTGGGACCGGTTTTTCATCCCGAGGCCCGGGAAGGGCCCCCCGAGCCCGAAAGTGACGAACAGCCTCCCGTCGTGATCTTTCACAGCGCGAGGAGGTCTGGAAGCTTCGACCCCCCTTGTCGTCACGTCGCCCCCTCCCCGTGCTCTCTTCGTCTCTGGGGGCCCTCGTCGGCGTCGGGGCCCGATCTTCCCCCGTTCCCCCTCCCCCAGCTGCCGATTGCTGCTCGCCCTCCTCCTACGTACTACGTGCTACGTACTACGTACGTAGTACTACGTGCTACGTACTACGTACGACGACGACGTCGACGACGACGACGTCGACGAAGACGGCGGCGGCGGCGTCGACCGCGGCGGCTACGGCGGCGGCGACGACGACGGTGGCGGCGGCGGCTGCGGCGACGGGACCGGCTGCGGCGTGCGACGGCCGCCGGGCTTCGGGCCCACATAGCAAGCAACACAAGCACGCCTCGGGACGAGGTGCGGGCCCTCCCCCGGAGAGCCGACGCTGCAGTGACGGCGAGAATAGACGAAGACGCCCGAGAACATCGAGTCTCGAGCCTAGAACCCAGGAGGAGGAGGAGGAGGAGGAGGAGGAGGAGGAGGGAGGAGGAGGAGGAGGAGGAGGAGGAGGAGGAGGAGGAGGGGAGGAGGAGGGGGAGGAGGAGACGAAAGACGCCCGAAAACCTCGAGCCTCGAGCCTCGGACCCAGGGCTCGTGGCCCCCCCCCCCCCGCGGGGACTGCGGGCGGCCGGCGGCGGCCGCCGCCCGCTCGGGGCCGCCCCCTGCCGTCCCGCCGCCAGCGGTCCGCCCGAGGCCCGCGGCGTGCCTCCCCGCGCGCGCGCGGCGCCGCCCGTCCGCCCCACATTTCCTCGCGCTGTGAAGATTTTTTTCGATAGTTTACATACAATATGTCTGTCTGTCTGTCTGTCTGTCTGTCTGTCTGTCTGTCTGTCTGTCTGTCTGTCTGTATGCATGTATGTATGTATGTATGTATGTATGTATGTATGTATGTATGTATGTGTGTATGCATGCATGCATGCATGCATGCATGTATGTATGTATGTATGTATGTATGCATGCATGCATGTATGTGTATGTATGTGTATGTATGTATGTATGTATGTATGTATGTGTGTATGTATGTATGTATGTATGTATGCATGTATGTATGCATGTATGTATGTATGTATGTATGTATGTATGCATGTATGTATGCACGCATGCATATATGTGTATATATATATGAGTATGTATGCAAATGTATATATACGTATATATATTCACATATATATGTGTGTATGTATATGTATATATAGATACATCTGTTCGGGCTCCGGAGGCCCTTCCCAGGCCTCGGGGCCGTCAAAGAGCGTCTCAGGATGGAGAAGGCGGTCCCAGGGAAGGGGTCTGGCCGGGCTTCTGGGGGTCACGCCATGAACAAATCACGACGTCGGGGGGTCTGGGTCGGTAGCAGATCTCGGGGGCGGCCAAAGAGGGGGGTGCTGACTGAGGGGGGGTGGATCTCATGGCGGGAGCCATGGTATCTCCCCAGATTTCACGGCGCCTCTTCTTAGTTCAATGCGTCCCCGGCCCCCCCGCGGGGCCGCGCACATGCCGCTGGCCATGATTTGCGCCCCTCCCTCTTGGAACGCCCCCGAAAATCATGGGAGCCTTGTATACCCTCGCCATTCCGTCTTTAGAGTGCGGCAGCGTCGACTAGCGTCTGGTGATCGATGAGATAGCGCCGCTTTGGCGTCGGCCAGCGTCGATTAGTGTCGATTGGCGTCGATTTAACGTCGATCAGCGCCGTTTGGCGTGGATTAGCGTCGATTCGCATACGCCAACAAGGTGGTGTGGGAAGAAGGAGAAGGAAGAGATGGAGGAGGAGGAAGGCAGACAGGCTGGCCGCGCTCCCCAGTGCCTGCTTCCCCACACCGGCAATCGAGCAGTTTCTTTGGTATGCACCTCAACTTAAGACGCACGCTCGGCACTTCCGCGAGCGTGGGGCGCTGCCGCGGCATGCCCTCTCCGGCGCTGCCGGTGCGAAGGCCGTGGCCCTGCGCGCATGATCGCGAGGGCACCACCCGCGCGCGCACTGCCCCGCCCGCCACGCGGGTGAGCGGGGCGCGGCGGAGGGCTGGGGGGGGGGCTCAGACGGGCGCGGTGGCCACACCGTGTGGTGGGTCGAGTGGGGGATCGTAGTGCAAGGGCGACGGGAGCCAGCAGGGTCCCAACACCAGTGCGGTGACGGGCCGTGCGGTGGGGTCTGCGGGGATGTCGATGTCACCGCACGGTCTGTCACCGCTCAGCTTTGGGACCCCTCAACAAAGGGAAGAGAAGGGGGACGATGGCGACGAGGAGAAGCATGAGCCGCAGGAGCAGCAGCGACTACGAGTAGCACGAAACGGCAGTGCGTAGAGGGAGTGGGAGCGAGCGGTGGTGGAATCAAGAGGGAGCTCGCCACGGGGCCCGAGAGCCTTGCAGAGGAATCCGTCGTGCGAGCAGGTGCACAACCGTGCGAAGCAGGCAGCAGCGGCAGGAGCACAGTCGCATGGTAGTGGAGCTTGACTCGGCGATGGCCGCGGTCGTGTGTGCGCAAGTGGTCACACGCACTATCGCACGTGCATGGCCGCGCTGGCAGGCACGCACTCAGCGCACACGCCGCCGCCGCCGCCGCCGCCGCCGTCGTCGTCGTCGTCGTCGTCGTCGTCGTCGTCGTCGTCGTCGTCGTCGTCGTCGTCGTCGTCGTCGTCGTCGTCGTCGTCTTTGGACGTTCCTGGACGCCCCTGGCCCCGCCTGGGCCTCCGGAGCCGCATCCGCGCCCGCCCTCGCGCACGCGCCGGCGCGTGCGCCCACGCCAGTATCTCATGCGTAGAGCTTGTCCGTGAGCATAGCTTTGTGGAGGTCGATTACTGGAGAGGAAGCATGCTGCCAAATAATGCCCAGATATTTAAAAATATGTCAAACATGTTTGAAACATATAAGAACATGCTTAAAACATGTTTAGAACATGCTTTACACATTTTAAGCACATTTTTGATTTAATGATCGGATTGTTAGAGTGTCCAGTGTCATGGCATCCACAAGCGTAGCTGCGAAGGAAGCTATAATCCAGGCGCAACAGAGAACCACAGCCACAACCATAGGTGGATTTTTCTGGAGAGCCCCTCGGGGGAGAGCCCACCGACCTCGACACGAGCGCTTCTGTTGCGGTTGTGGTCGTCGATTCGGCCGTCTGGGGCGCCCGCCACATCGACCACAACCAGTACTGAGCTGGTTTCGGTACTCTGGCGACTGTTGGCATGCGCAAGCATTCCCCAGGGTGCCCCCTCGCTGTGGTTGTGGTCGCCGGCTGTCGCCGCGTGGAAGGGTACGGTCAGGAACCTGTAGGAGCTTTTGCTTCGCGCGTCGCGCCGTCGGTCCAGGCCCACCTCGCTTCGGCGCGACACGCCATCCACGTCCCAGTCCCCAGGCGTGAACGTCTCGAATTTGTCCCAGCCTCCCGCCCCGCGGAGCGGTCACCACCCACCAAACCACCCCAACCCAACCCGAAGGCTCAGATTTTCCCTCGATTTCCAGTGGGGGGGGGGTCGGGAAACATCGAAAAAACACGTGTGGAATCCTTACCCCCCCCAACCCGAAATTCGGGTCTTCGGGTTGGGTTGGGGTGGTCTGGTAGGTAGTCAAGCGGGGCGACACCCTATATCCGCTCGCAGGGCACAGCCTGCCGCCGGGGCCGCCGCCGCGACACTCGGAGCAACAACTCCCGACCTATACGGGCGCAGGCTGGCGCCAGTCCGCAAACAAGGCGTCGACGGAGCCGACTTCCTCGAGATCCGACGTGGCAGCGACAAGTGCAACACCGCGCAGACTCACCACGGGAGCCCTCGACCCGGCATTTCTGCGCCGTTCTTCGAGTCGGCTCGATCTGTGAGGGTCCTGGGTAGGGGGCCACATGCGAACCCTACCCCTACCCCCCACGATTTCTGAGGGGGAGGGTGGGGTTCACTTCGTTCGGGAGCTCCAGAGCGAAGTGAACCCCACCCTCCCCCTCAGAAATCGTGGGGGGTAGGGGTAGGGTTCGCATGTGGCCCCCTACTGGGGCCCGGAGCCATGCGAACACGCCAGCGCGCTGTGAAGCAGCTGCAAGACCCCAGATCTGAGGGTCGCAGCGGAAGGGGGCCCCCGCGCAGGCCTCCGCGGAGACCCCCGGGGGCGCCCGGGGAGCTCCAGGGGAGGGGCCGCAGGCACCCGCGCGCGCGCGCGCCGTCGCCTGGCGCCAGTTGGCGAATTCGGGAGGATGTCGTCGACGGAACTGGCTCCGCGTGGTGCTCGGTTGCAATCGCGGGGTGCTCCGCGTGCTCGCTCTCTCTTGTGGATTTTCTGGAGAGTCGCCAATCGCGCGCTCTTCCGCCCACGCGTCCCGCAGGATGCACGGCTCAGTGGCAGTGGCCGTCGACGGAACTGGCTCGTGGAGCTTCCTCACAGGGGGCCCCCGCGGAGGGCCTCCGCGGAGACCCCCGCGGCGCCAAGGGGGCGCCTCCGAGGAGGTGGCCGCAGGTCTGCGACCGCCTGCGAACCTCGTCCCCGCGGTTGCACTTATGTCGGGCGTGTCCCCCATACAGGGGGGATTTTTGTTCGACGACAAGAATCCGCGAAACATGTTCCAAAAAGGTCAACACGTATTCAACACAATAGTCTCCCGACTATTTTTGGATTATCTTTTGGTTCTTCTTGGGCTACTTTTTTATCTTTCGTCGAAAATCCCCCTGTCGGAAAACAGGCCCGACTTAAGGTTACAATCGACGCGGGCGGGGGGGGGTATCGGACACCCCTTGCTGGGGCTCCCTTGGTCGTCGTTTTCTTATTCGCTGTCTTGCCGATCGGCGCAGGCCCTCCCCCCCTCCGCCCCCCTCTCCCCCCCCCCCTGTGGAGTAATGCTTGGCTGCGTCTAGCGCCTGTTTCGAGCAGGCGGCGTCGCCCCCATCATGCGCGCACTGCTGCAGACCCTCGCACAGAGCAGAGGTCCGGAGCCAGACCTCCCCCCCTCCCCCCCCTTCGCCCAATGCCGAAACGCCGAACAAGATCACGCTCACTTGGCTGCAGACATCCTTGTCCGCAGCCAAGGATGTCAGCAAAATGAATACATACATAAAAAACAAGCAGTAATAACAAACAACAGAAAAACAAAACAAACAAACAACACTTGGCTGCGGACATCCTTGAATTTTTGTTGGCCCCCCGCCGCGGGCGCCCCCAGGCGGCGCTGCGGGCAGCGACGTGGCCCTGCCGCCCCCGCCGCCAGCTGCACAGCGCGCTGCCGCCGCCGCCGCCGCAGGGGGGCGAACCCGCCCGCCCTCGCGCGGCAGTGGGGGCCCAATCCAAAAATCGGGGGCGGAAAAGAGGGGGGTGATGACTAGGGGGGGGTGGATTTCATGGCGCGGGCCATGATTTTTCCTCAGATTTCATGGCGCCTCTTCTTGTTTCATTACGTCCCTGGCCCCCCCGCTGGGCCGCGCACATGCCGCCGGTCATGATTTGCACCCCCCCCTCTTGGACACCCCCCTCTTTGCCGCTCCCGAAAAAAAAGACACCCTGCTTGCCTCCAGGGTGCCCCTGGGTTTCTTGGGTTTCGATGCTTCTGAGCGGGGCTCGTTTCGACCCCTCCGATTCGACTCGATTCGAGATTTCGATGGCTTCCGATGCCGATCCGATTCGAGTTCGGATTCCGATTCGGGCTCCGATGTGTTATTGGACGCACACTGGCCTGCCGATTTCTGCCGATTTCCGCCTCGGCTGCCGGTTCCCGCCGATCCGATTCATGTCGATCGCCGATCCGACTTATCGGTTCTGGGCTCTCTTCCTTTTGTCATGGAAAGCGTGATGTGCCCACGTCAACCATCGAAAGACGTCCTGGGGTCTCATGGCTGGGTTTCCTGAGGGAGGTTTCTTGCGGTCGGGCCCCTACTGTGTGTGAAAATCTAGCCGTGTTCGGCCTCTGGGGGCCGCCACCAGACCTCGGGGCCGTCAGAAAACGACTCGGGATGCCTCGCGTCGCGAGAAAATCTCGACCAGAGGTTCTTGGCCGTGTTCGGCCTCTCTGGGGGCCCCTACCGGGCCTCTGGACCGTCAGGCAACAACTCGGGACGAAACACCGGTCCTGGGGAAGGGGTCGAAACCTCTGGGGGTCGACGTTGCCATTGCGAAAACGCCACGGCGTCGGGGATCCGTGTCCCCGCCTGAGATCTGAGCGTTGCGGTGATGGTTTGCTCCGCGTGGCAATACGAATCGGCCCCGCCCCCCGGGGGTTCGGGGGGGGGGGCGATGGGCGCGTGCCGTCGGTCAGGGGGTTTGGGGGGGATGCCAGTTTTGAAGCTCAAATTCCTGGGCAGGGCCGGACCTAAACCGTGTTTTTGCCGATTCCGTGGGCCGCTTTCGTTTCGACTTCGTTCTGCGGTACAACAAAGGCGGCTTCGAGACCAAGCGCGAGGGAGAGCGACGACAACACGAGAACGAAGAACACCGTTTCTAGGTGCAGCCCCGTTCCTGGGGGGGCCGGCGGGGAGGGGAGGGGGGGGGCGCTCCGACGGAAGGTCGGCCGCCTCCCCACGACTGCCCTGCCATCCGGGGCACGCTGGGCGTTGGGCGCCCGGCCTCGGGCCCAGGGGCCCTCACGGGTCGATCGGGCTCGGAGAGAAAATGGCGCCCCCTCGCTGCCGCCACCTGCCTGGTCTCGAAGAATAACACAAGGAAGTACGTTTCAGTCGGGCTGCCCCCCCCTTTGCGCCCCCTCTTTGCTGCCCCCTGCCTGGTCTCGAAGAACACAAGAACTACGCTTCAGTCGGGCCTGTCCCTCTGCAGAGGGGAATATCAAAAAATAGTAAAAAAACATTATCTGGGGACGAGTTTCTCCGTATTTTTTGACTATGCTGTGGGTACTTTTGGGGTGTGCTAAAATTTCCCTCCAAAATCCCCCCTGTAGGGGGGCGGGCCCGCCTTCAAAGCTGCGTGCGCGTGAAAACGTTCGGCGCTCCCCGCGCGGACTTCTCGGAGAGGTCGGCGCCGCGCCGCCCCCTGGCGGCGCCCTCCGGCGCCCGCCCGCCCCCCCCTGGCGCGCTCCGCGCGCCGGGTAAAGGGTGGGCGCAGCGCAGATCTCGGGTTTTCCTTCTGATTCCGATGGGGAATCGAAGTTCTTACTTATGGAAAAAAGGGGGCCTCGTTCCTGGTTCAGGGTTCCTCAGGTCAACGCCCCGACTGCATAGGGGGGGTCGGGTCGGGCGAAAGGGGGGGATTGGGAAAGGGGGGGTTACGAAATTTGCTGCATGCAGCTGGTTTCGGCCCCACCGAGGGGCCCATTCCTCGATACATAGCTCCATCCGGCGCCGGGAGGCGCCGGGAAAATCAGCTACGTGAGCTGATTCTCAAACCCCCCCTTTGCTATCCCCCCCTTTCGCCCGACCCGAAGATCCCAAGAACTCCGCGCGGAGCTCCGGAAGTTTATGATCGTGTCATGTTTGCTCCTCCATTCGTGCGTCGAGTTTTCGCCCAGCCTCGAGTCTGGGGAGACCCTCACAGATCGATGCCTCTCGAGAAGTGACGCGCAGACAGGTGGGGTCCAGGACCCTGGTCGTGAGCTGTCGCGATGTTGTGTTTCCCAACCATCCTGTGGTGTTGGGTCCTCGTTTTGAGTCGACATTGCCCAGCGTTCCTCTCCTCTCTCCTCTCCTCTCCTCTCCTCTCCTCTCCTCTCCTCTCCTCTCCTCTCCTCTCCTCTCCTCTCCTCTCCTCTCCTCTCCTCTCCTCTCCTCTCCTCTCCTCTCCTCCTCCTCCTCCTCCTCCTCCTCCTCCTCCTCTTCCATTCCTTTTCCTTATCAATAATTTCTCCCTGTCGCTCCCCGAGGCCTGTTTTTAGGGTGGGCCGGGCGTTTCGCCTGAGACTTCCTTACCATTCAAGTCCCTGGAGCTTTAAACAATGGCAACAGTTTCACGGATTGAGGGCGGGTGGTTTTCAAAATGTGGCTCTCGCCTTGCCGTGGAGAACATTCGTGTCAACAATTTGCAAGAGATTCACGGATTGAGGGCGGGGCGTTTTTAAAACGAGGCTCTCGCCTCAGCGCCGCGTTCATTCGTTCAAAAATTTTGCAAGAGTTTCACTGATGGAGGGCGGGCCGTTTTCAAAATGTGGCTCTCGCCTCAGCGCCGCGCACATTTGTTTAAAAACGTTGCAAGAGTTTCGCTGATGGAGGGCGGGTCGTTTTCAATATGTGGCTCTCGCCTTAGCGCCAGGCGCATTGTGGTTGTAAACATTTGCAAGAGTTTCATGGGCCCCATCATGTCAATGTACCAGAGACGGTGTTTGGGAAATATTCTGGAGTATGAGGATGTCACAGTTACGCTGACTCGCGGTGTTGAAGTCCCAGGAATGGCGTTCTGGCACGAGTCAGGATCGTCAAGACGCAACAGTCAGCTTGATCCTGGGCGTTGGAGCCCCGAGAATGACGTTTTGGCATGCTTCAGGAACTTCAAGGAGTGTCTTCCAACGAGGCAGTTCCTTCAGTGGACATGAGCCGTTGTAGGGGCCTATGAAGAGGGAGCTTCGAGGGAGGGTTTATTTCAACATCGTTGATGACTTTTGGGTTTACACTGGTCCTCCTCCTCCTCCTCATCCTCCTCCTCCTCATCCTCCTCCTCCTCCCCCTCCTCCTCCTCCTCCTCCTCCTCCTCCTCCTCCTCCTCGTCCTCCTCCTCCCTCTCCTCCCTCCTCTGATCCCTACCTCTGCTCTCCCGTCATCGGCACGGTCCGCATGCGTCCCCCCGCCCATTTCGGCACACCCCTCACACGGATCATGGTCCCATAGGGAGCTAGACCGAAGGCCCCAGTGGCAGGGTCCGCGTGCATTCCCCGCGCCCATTTCGGCGCACCCCTCACGAGGATCGTGGTCCCATAGGGAGCTCCACCGAAGGCCCCAGTGGCAGGGTCCGCATGCATTCCCCGCGCCCATTTCGGCGCACCCCTCACGAGGATCGTGGTCCCATAGGGAGCTCCACCGAAGGTCCCAGTGGCAGGGTCCGCATGCGTCCCCCCGCCTATCTCAGCGCACCCCTCGCGAGAATCGTGGCCCCATAGGGAGCTCCACCGAATGCCCCAGTGGCAGGGCCCGCATGCGTCCCTGCGCCCACTTCGGCGCACCCCTCGCGAGGATCGCGGCCCCATGGGGAGCTCCACCAACTGTCCGAGTGGCAGGGTCCGCATGCGTCCCCCCCAATTCGGCACACCTCTCACGAGAATCGTGGACCCATAGAGAGCTCCACCGAATGCCCCAGTGTCAGGGTCCGCATGCGCCCACCCGCCAATTTCGGCACACCCCTCGCGAGGATCGTGGCCCCATGGGGAGCCCCACCGAATGCCCCGGTGTCAGGGTCCGCATGCGTGTCCCCGTCCATGTCGGCACGCCACTCACGAGGGTCGTGGCCCCACAGGGAGCCCCACCGAAAGCGGTAGCCACAATGCGGTACTCACAATTGCATATTGTTGGGCTTTTCGCCCGATTTTTGTCGCAAGGTTGTATCTCAGGGCCGCCGCCTCCCTTGCTGTCTCTCCCCACGTGCTGTCTTCCCTCTGCCCCTTCCCGCCTGCCCGCCCGCCTAGTTCGTCCCGCCGGCCCTGGCCTCCCGCCCGTGCGTGCGCCGTCGTCGGCCTGCTTCTCGTTCCCTCTCCCTCTGCCTGGAGCCCGCGTTGCCGGGGCTCCGTCGAAGACTGCCCTGCTCTGGTGGACCCAGGGGGACCTGGGACTTCTTCGCCCTTTCTCTCACGCCCCGTGGACCCTCTGGGCCTCTCTCGGGGCGATCGCGCTCCGTCGAACGATGTCCTGCTCTGGAGGGCCCGACCCAGTGGGACCTGGGCCTTCTTCGCCCCTTTCTCGCATGCCCGGACCCGCAGCACCAGCGATCGCCCCGTGAGAGGGTCCATGGGCCCTCTCACGGGGCGAGCGCCGGTGCTGAGGAGGAGGGCTCCGTGGCGCCCTCGCGCCGCGGCGGAGGGGCCTCTGCCACTCGTGGGCCCCCCGGGCGCCCTCGCCAGGCCCAGGCGCCGTGCAGAAGCTACCCAGGACCGGAAGCCAGTCCCGGGGGGGACGGGTTCGGACTGTTTTGGGGAGCCACAGAAAGCCCGGCGTCGGGTGCCTGGGTCGGAGGGACGTGTCTGGGCCTCTTTCCCGGATGTCCGGCGTTCTTTTTTGTTTGTTTGTGTGTTTCTGTTGTAAAAAAGCATGCGCGTGTTCCTATTCCGATATTCTTATTACCTGGACCCCCCACCCCCCAAGCGCCCCTCCCCCGCACGAGAGGCCTAGGGCAGCACAAGAGCGCTCCAAGAGCAACCTCGATGGTCTGAGGACGGCCCAAGAGGCCCCCAAGGCGCCCCAAGAGGGCGTCAAAAGAGCCCCGAAGGTGCAAAAATCGTCCCATTCCCTCCGGGAAACAACTATTTGTAGCACATCCGCTTTTTAGGTCTTCGCAGCGTCCATGGCGGCTCGATGGGCCCCTGATATCGCCCCTAGACGGCCCAAGAGGCCCACCAGAGGGTTTGAAAACGGTCCAAAAGGGCCCCAAGACTGCCCCAGAGAGCCCCGAAACTGGTCACAAGAAGCCCAAGATACCTTCAGAAGGCTCCCAAGAGAGACCCACGAAAGCCGTGGGAGACCCCCAAGAAGGCCATTGGAGGCCCCCAAGATGGCCCTAGATGGCTTCAGAAGACCTCTGGAGGGCTCCAGCTCCCCAAGACGGCCCAAGAAGGCCCCAGGACGGCCCAAGAGGGCCCCAGGACGGCCCAAAAGAGCCCCCAAAACGCCCAGACGGCGTTCTCCTACGAAGTGCGTCGCGCTGACGCGAAGATCTTGGTTCCACGATCCACGATTGAGGCTCGAGGTTAAAGTTTCGAGATTTAAAGAGATAGGTTTCCCTCCCTCCTCCCCGCGTCGGCCTCTTCAGCCCCCCCTTCATCCCTGCTCCCTTCCCGCTTCCCGTTCATGGACACGTGCCATCGCAACAGTTTGATGCTTCGTCGTTTGCCAGCACTTTCGCGCGTGAAACATTCGT